CCAGATGTCTTTCCAAAAGGAACATATTAGTTTACATTCCCACCAGCAGTGTAGGAGTGTTCCCTTTTCTCCACATCCACGCCAGCATCTCTGGCAAGATGCATCTTAACTAGCGTGGTTGGACCATCTGGAGGAGGCTGGATCTGTCTTTTGCATGTTCCTCCATCATTCAGGAAGCTATCCTGAGCTCTCTACATAGTGGTTGGATCCCAAGAAAGCAGAAGCAGAAGCTTTGAGGCCTGCTAAAGCCCCAGACCTACAGAATATTGCTTCCAAGCTATTCCATTGGCTAAAGCAAGCCACGAGCCCAAGGTGAAGGAGTTGCATCCATGTACAGGAATGAGAAGAAGGGTCGGCAGCTGTCTTTGGAAATGGTACACCACAGGCCACTCTCCGGCCATAGCAATTCGTAGCTTTTCTACATGACAAATACATTCACCTCATTCCCTAAAATTTGAGTCTTATTCTATCGATGGCTCTGTAGGGAAGCTAGACCTAATCTCTAACCCCCCATGAGGTGTTAGTGGGCTTTGGGGCTGGATCTAGAAACCAACTGGACACAAGGCAGATTAATAAGAGAAAAGCAAACATGTCTTATTAATTTTACATGTACGTGAGGATCTTCAGAAGAGAGTGACGTTTAAAGTAGTTGCAAAAGTGAAATGCTTTGATATTTTTTAGACAAAGAATAATTAATTTGAGAAGAAATGACAGAACAAAGGGGATCTGGCTAGGAGTAGTAAATTCCTGGGGCAGTCACTAGGAGACATATGGGGGTTGGTTAAGCTAGTGGAAGACAAGGGTTATTTTGTTAAGTATTTTTATGCAGGTCCATTGCAGCTCCCAACATCTAGTCTCTGCTGATAAAGGCTAATTTTTCACCTTGGTTCGAGGGGAGTAGCTCTTCAAGGAGAATCCTTATGGCGGCATGAAGGAAGAGACAGGGCAATTAGCCCTTTCTGAAACTACAATTTCTCGAATGTTTTCATCTTGAAATAATCAATATACCAACCCGACATAATTCAGGATGATGCGTCTTTCACTCCTTCAACTCAAAACCCAGGATCTCTTTATTTGCATGGGGCCTGTATCTGGGTGAAGCTCCCCACATGGGTTTCTCTTGATGTGAAAGTGTGGGAACTAAACAGATTAGTTACCTGACCCACAGCACACACTGCAAACATAGGATGGTGAGACAGGGCTAATTATACACAGTTCTGTTCAAAGACAGGAAAGTGGGGAGCACACATCAGTCTTTAGTTGCAGTGATTCTGAATCCAGCCTGGCACGTGTTACCAGTTTTTTGAACTCTAAGAAGAGAAATGTGTCTAGACTAGCATCTAGTTCTGAGCCCTGGGAGTGACTTACTAATCTGCTATTCTCAGAAGCTCCTCTATCTGTGTTGTTCTCCTTTTTTTCATGAGAAATAGCCTGTGTTTGCTTCAGACTTATTTTTCTTTTCTTTTCTTTTCTTTTCTTTTCTTTTCTTTTCTTTTCTTTTCTTTTTTTTCTTTTTTTGA